TTTACACAGGCTTGCTTGCAAAGGGGCTCCCCAGAAGCCCTTTCAGGATGACAAGCCAGCCTGGCTCAGCCCAAGATCTCAGTGCCCCCGAAGTGGACATCTTGGTTGAAATGGCTTTGGTTAGATTGCCATGTGTTATTAAGGTTCTTTGAGCTTGTGCCCTTGGGTCTGTGTTTGTGATGGTACACAAGAAAGCGATGAGCAGATAAGCTGTTTCTCTTTATTGCCACAGACTGGGTTCAACCAGCAGACAAGACAGGACTGACAGGTGCCACCTCCCAAAATTGCCTGCTTTTAACACCCGTTTGCTCTTCAAGCAAGCTAATTCACATAGCAGTTAATCACCTATATATGGCATACACAAGCCCGTAACAAACTGAGAGTGTCTTTGCCTGGTTGAACATGACTTCCCCTGCTCTTGCCTGGCTGCAATGTTAGATCAGGGCTATTTTGCTTAATCTTCACATGTGCTCTGCTGTAGTAACTATTTAAAGTCCTGATGACCTGTCTCACAAAGTGTCAGTCTGCTTGCAAATGCCAGAGTTGCTTTTGCTTTTGCAAGGCGCCATCACATCGTACAATGCTAAAGGTCATTGCTCTTACTTTCTAATTAGCAAAAAAATAACAAATAAAAAAACCAACAACTAGCGACAGCTGGTTCAGGCACAGCTTCCCTCCTTGGATGCTGAGGCTGTTGCTTGTTGGGTTGTTGCTGAAAGCTCTGGCCAAGCTGCTCCTGGGATGGGGCCAAGCAGAAGGTCCCTGCTGTGGGGAGGGGACCAGGCTGGGTGTGGGGCTGTGCCCTCCAGAACTCCCTCATCCTGGCATGCCAGCACCACAGCTGGCTCCATGCTGGGGGTGTTGCATGGCTGCAGTGCTGAGCATCAGGGCTTGCTTTGCTTTGTGGCTGGATCTGGGATCCCCATTGCACACCAGTCCTGTTGCTTGGGAAGACCAGGTCTGTGCCTTGCAGGTGGGGGGCTGAGCTGTGGAGCCCGTACTGCTCTGCTGAAGCACATCAGCTGTGGGGGAAACGGCCACTGCACAACCTGCCCCAGCCTGTGTGATGCTGGAGCATCCCTGGGCATCACTGGGAAGGACCTGGGCAGCTCACAAGGAAGGGTCTGTGAGAGGGAGAGGAGTTGCTTGCGTGGATGGGACATCCCAGGCAGGGGTGCAGCAAGGCTTGAAGCAGAGGTGGTGCAGGGTGCAGGTGCTGCGAAGGAAGGCAGAGGGTGAGGTGCTGCCCAGCCTCCCCCACACCCCGCAGGGCTGCAAAGGCAGCTTGCCAGGGTGTTTCCCCCATCTTGCCCCTTTGTTGCACTCCAGCTTGTGGGGGATCTTGTAGGCTACCCATGGTGTATCCCTGCTGCTCCCATGGCAGCAAAGGCATGGAGGCAGGCTCCAACCAGCACAGGGAGATGCCTGCATACCTCTCCATTTCTAAGGGAGGTGTGGTCAACCTGCTCCACACAGGTGCCCAGGCTTCCCACTTTCCTCCTCATGTGCCCCCCATGCCCGACACATCCCAGGGCTCAGCAGAGCCCAGCATGGGCACACTCACCACAGCAGCGCTGGGCTCCATGGCCGTCACAGCGGGGACGGGGAGCTTGGCCCGGCCGCCTTCTCGCAGATCCAGAGGTGCAGGTCTTCGGGACCAGCGCACAGGGCAGGTTTGATGTTCCCACGGCTTATTATGGCACAGGACCCGTTCGACTTCCACTGCCACGGCCTGGGATGGGGAAACCACACATCAAGGGGCTGCCACTGCTCTGTCCACCACCCCCTGCCCAGGCAGCCACAGCTGCTGGCAACTGCCTCTGGTACACTCTCGCACAGGAGGGGTTGAATGCTGCAGCCAAAGCGGAGATCCCCTCGTCCTCCCCTGCTGATTTCACAGGCTGAAGCCTCAGCCGATGCACCCCTGTCCCAAGCAGGCTGAGAAACCCTTCTGCAGAAGGTTTGCATTGCTTGTGACTCCCCTCAGCCTCTCCCCTGCTTGAACCTCAGCCTGGCTGCTGGCGGATATCTCATCCCTGCAGCGCCCGGAGAGGAGAGCCCGGTCCCATACCCCTGAAGGCAGATGGATGGCTGGAGGAGCATCCATGGGGACAGTGTGGTGCACCCCCCCACAGCAGGGCTGAGGAGGGAGGGGCAAGGAGCAGGCAGGGGCTGGGTACCCAGCAACCAGCCAGACGGGTCTGTTCCTCCCCACTGCCCTCAGACACCGCAAGAGGAAGCGGTGGTGAGATGGGGAGGGGGTTGCACATGGAGGGGAGGAGCTCAGGACCCTTTCTGGGTGGGAAGGCTCGATTACCCCTCGAGGAGGGTTCAAGGAGCCACGTGGGGGATAGAAGTGGTGCTTGAAAGCTTTGTTTAGACCCCAAATAAAACTTGTGGGGTTTTTAGTCCCTCTTGCTGCCTCCTGCTTGCACATGCCCTGCACGTGCCTCCACCCAAGTCATGGCTTCCCATTTGCATGGGGTCTAAGCATCTCATCACGCCACTGCACCCACCTCCCCTCAGCCTCAGCTGCTTTCATGCAGTTTGTTGCCCAGTACCTGAGTCAGTAACTGGGTACAGGTGGAATTTAAACTGCTTCCTAAAGCTGTGCTGGGGAGGGAGCTTTGGCAAGAGGCTGTGCCGCCAGATACCTTTCGTAAAGGGAGCCATCCACCCAGAACCAGGCATCAGGGACCCCGTCGCCATCTGGGTATCCTTCCTCCAGCCAGTCATATGCATACCAGGGGAAGCTGTTCTTCTGCAGCCCAATCCAGTATGGGGTGTCTGCATTCTTCAGAAAGGCCTTGGGAAGGAGAAAAAGGGCCTTTTAATGGCTTTTCCATGGTACGTACCTAAGTTCCGCAGTGTTTGCAGGGGTGGTCATCTCCCTGGGGAGCCCCTGAGGCTGGAGCTCCTTGGGGCAGGACAGCTGAGCAGCTCTGGTGTTCCACTCCAGCCTGGGCAGCATCTGGGGGTGCCAGACCCTCTCCTCCCCATGTCCACCAGCAGCCATGTGCTCCAGAGATGAGCCTTGCACCGTTCAAATGTTTTGTCAGGTGAGGGGTGCCCAGAGCTCACTTGGGGAGCCCAGGGCTGGCTGTACCAGGTCCTGCCCTCAGGTCCCCCAGCACCCTACCGGCACAGTCCAGCGACTCCAGGATTTGGTGACCAGGAGCTGAGAATACTTCCTCTCACACTCTTCTCTGCTGTTCTCCCATGTTTTCTTCTCTGATGAGATGAAGAGGCACTTGCCCCTGTACAGCAGCCAGCCCGAAGGGCAACAATCTGGGGGCAGGGGCACAGCTCAGGTCCTTGATTAGCCATAAATGCCCTGGTGGGGGGAGATCAGAACAACCCCACATCTTCCCAGCAGACATCACAGGCTTAGCCTCTGCCCCAGGCATCGCTTCAGCCTTTGGACCACCCTGTCCTCACCACATAGCCAAAAAACCCAGTGCTGGTGCCACGGCACTGCACCTGCTGAGGGGTGCGAGCCCCCTGGAGCCCCCTCATCCCTGCTCCCCC